ACAAATACTATTTTATGCGACACATAGGACTTGTGCTTACCACAGGAGGTGATTGGCTTAGGTGTGCATGGGGTTTCAGGTCTGCTTTTATAATGTGGAACTAAGGGTGTGTGGAATGAGTCTCTACACCTGTTTCACAGTGAAAATGGCAATAACGTCACAGTTCCCGTCGATGCTTCTCTAAGTGCCTGGGTTTGGGTGCCTGCTCCAAGCAGTAGTGTTAGAACCTTGCTTGCATGTGCAATCAGCTGGAGCTTTCTAGTGCAGACAGGCTGTATTTATCCAGAGTGCCCCTGCCACTCATGTACTGGGAAACTGGGTCTCTTCACTTGCCTGCGCCTCAGTCTCCTCTTGTGTGAAACGGTGGCAATCATTGCAGTGTCATTGGGAGGATTGAATTAGCTTCCATATTATTTTAAACAGCATTTGGTATAATAGTAAGCGTTCAGTAAATAGTTCTTATTGCTGTGGTTGTTGTTATCATTGCTCTTAACTAAAGTAGCTGTCAAATAAAGTTCTTCATCCAAAGTCATTTCTTTCCAATTTTTTCCTCTTTATACTTACTAGTGATCAATAGTGGCCACTGCTATAGTAATCATTTGTACACACATTGCTGTACGAGTCACTTTACTTGTGTAAGCTCATTTGGATTTTCATATCTTGTGAAGAACTAATCAGATATAGACATATCAATTAGGACTTTTATGGTTCCAAGTACCTGAAATCTCAACTTAAATTGACTTAGGCTAGGAATAAATTCTTTGGTTCTCCTAGCTGCAATGTTCCGGCACAACTAGCTGGATTTAGGGCTCAAGTAAGTCATCAAGACTTAGTTTCTCCTCATCGACCAGTGCTGCCTTTTGTTGTTTAGATTTCAGTTGCAAGAAAAAGGAAAAAATGCCCACCGCTTATTCATCCCCTGTAGCCTCACAGATTTTAGATTCAGCAGGAAAGCAGATGTCTCCTTCCCAGGGGCTCAGCAAAATGTGCCCAGCCCTCCTTGGTTCTTATGGCCTACCTTGAGCCAATCCCTGTGTGGTGATTGACCAGCTCCAGTCACATGATACTACCCAGGGATTCCCAGGAAAGTCTGCTCCTGCAGAACCTTGTGGATTGGAAGTCGGGAAAGATGAATTCTCCAAAGAAAACCATGGGCTTTTGAGCAGCAAAATACCCAGTGTTCATTTCTCCATATAAAGCCAGCAATAGTGAAGGTAATGATCTGGAGTGCACTCTGCAGTCTAGGACTCTGCTCCCAGCTGGCTTTTCTATAAAGTCACACCTCCAAGTCGACATGACCTACAGGTGTAGGAGTTTGCAGAAACTTACCGCGTGTTAAATTTTCTTGGTGAGATGGGGTGGGTTTGGACAGGAGGAGAAAGGATCAAGGCACATGCAGTGAGCCCTCAGCAGTGGATGAGTGCGGTTCTGTAAGAAATGCGACTTTGTTCCAGTGGTGCCCACTCCTCCAGCCTCTGTCCCCGAGGAGAGACTCGAGACCCAGCTTGCTCACTCCCTGAGCTTGGGGCAGGCAGTTATGGTGGTGTGGGAGAGGGGCAGGACTATATTCTATAATTATGCATGTGTCTGTGTGCCCCAGACAGTACACAGTGAGCTGTGTCTGAAGTGGTCTTCACAGAGAAGAAGCAATTCTAGAATTCACATTTTGGATTTTTTTCCCCCCCAACTGTTTGGTTAACATATAATTCACAAATCATACAATTCAGTGGCTTAAATATATTAAGAAGAGTTGTGCAATCTGTGTGTTTTCTATAATTGTCTTTTTGAGAAAGGCTGGAGACCTTTCTCTTGACTTTCACCAGAGTTTTCATGTTATCCTTGAGAGTGCCCTTGGGCTTCTTCAGAATGAGTGGGCCCAGCAGGTGGTACTCTTCTGCAAAACCAGAGTCCTGCCTTGTACTGAGACTAATCCTACAGGGTCAGGTCAGCTGCACAAAGACCTTCACGCTATAAATGAGGCCACTTCCCCCCAGAGCTCCTGAGGGGGGTAAGTCTGTCTTTCCTGCATCGTGGCATTGAGCTTCCCAGCTAGTATGTTGTATAAGGGGACAGTGTTTGCACTCTCTCCTTAGAGCCAGCCCTAGGGCTGAGCGAGTCTTGATTGAGTACATACAAAAGGCCCTATTTCTGCAGTGGCTACTCTTGCGTCATCATGACCAGTTTATCCAAATGTCTAAAGTAATTTTTGTGTCAAGTGGGCAAAATTGCTGTTATGTGGTGTGGTACCTTATGATGAGATCATTAGAGTGATTTCTATGTTACCTAAACTGACATAAATGGCGGGAACAATCTGTAAGACTTGTTGAGCGATTACTATGTTGTAAGTAGTCTTTTAAGCAGTACACACACCGAATCTCACTGAATTCTTACAGTAACCCTGGGAGGTAGGTTTTAGTTGTTTGTTTATTGCTCTAGGGCTGAGCAAGGTGAAGTGACTGGCCCCTGGCCATGCAGCCTGGGGACCTGGGGGTGTTGACAACACACAGGTCATCCGGCTCCAGAACCCCAGCTCTTGGCCACCAGTTTGCTTTCTTTGGCAAGGAAAGCTTTTAGCTTGTGCAGGATTAGCTTTGCCTTTCGGTCTACTTCCTTTTGTAACGGTTTACTTTTCTAGGTACAGATGGGGAGTTATGTAGGGAAGACTAGCTAATTCTAAGGTGGCTGGTTCTCCCATTGACTGCGGCTGCTATCTGGAGGCTTATCAACTTAAGTTGCTTTTATCCTGGACTGATTCTGCCCCACAGGGTTATTTGGCAAAGTCTGGAGACAATTCTTGTGGTTTCAAATGTTCTATTGTGAATTAGGTGAGGGTTTACATACTAGGTCATTGTGTGTTTTGCATTCAACAACTGAAACAGCTTATTAAACCTCCCAATGGTTTGTTCTGTCCAGTCTCCCTTGTAGCCCCCCGCCCCCTGTAATAGAGTATCTCCCCCTTCACTCACTTAACACTTGTCTATCTGTTAGCCTCCCTTCCTGCCCCACTCCTGGTAACCATCAAAGTCGGGTTCTTTTGGTACGAAAACCTCTCTTGGTTTTAGAAAACTAGCAGTTGCCTCGTACATTATTTGCCCTTTTGTATTTGGCTAACTAATGTCCTCCAAATCCACCCTTGTCACGAGGTGTTTTGATAGTGTACAGAGTACTATATTATGTGCATGTACCAAAGTATATTCATCGGTCCACTGATGGGCATTAAGGTTGTTCCCATCTTCTTGCTCTTGTGCATAGTGCTGTGACGAACATGGATGTGTGCATGTCTGTTCGGGCTGTGCTCTTTGTTTCCGTAAAGTGTATCCCAAAAGCATTATTGCTGGGTCATATGGTAATTTTTATTTACCATATATCCTTGTGTATAAGCCGAGTTTTTCAGCACATTTTTGATGCAGTTTTTGTGGTAAAATTAGGTGCCTTTGCTAATAATTAGGTTGGCTTATACTCGAGTATATAGGGTACTTATTTATCTATATATTTTTTTGGTAATATTTATTCCCAGTTGTTAGAGGAAGTGCCAGAAGGCTTTCCACAGTGGTTGTACAGTTTTACAAGTCTGGAGACATTTTTGTTTGTCACAGACAAGGTCAGCCTTGCTGTTAAACATCTTGCAGTGCACAGGACAGCTCCCAGAATAAAGAATGATCCCGTCTGAAATGTCAGTAGTGTGTCTTGTAATGTAACATCTCTTACTTGGATTATTTCCCAACTTATTGCCACTCCTAGGAACCCTGGTAATGTATTAGGTTACATGTTGGACTGCTGTATTAGGTCAGCAGTTCAAAACCAGCTGGGGCTTCTTGGGAGAAAGGTGGAGTTTTCTGCTCCTTTAAAGAATTGCAACTTCAGAAATCCAAAGGGGCAGTTCCACTCTGTCTTATAGGGTCTCTGAGTCCAGATTGACTCCATGGCTGTAAGCTTGGTTTGTTAGTTTCACTGCTACACACAGCAGCACTATATAGGGGTTCCAAGATGGTAAATCTTGAAGGTGGCAGACACCTCACTTTCTCCCGTGGGGTGGCTAGTGGGTTTGAATACCTTGTGTTCAGCAACTCAGCGCCCGACTCACAGTGCCATCAGGGCACCTTTAGATGATTTTAGTGGCTTCTTATTAATGGCACTGTTTGCTTCTGATTTCTTTCCCTTCTAATTCTTCATAGAATTTAGAGTCTATAAGGTCCTTCATTATTGGAAAACTTTCCATTGTGCCTTATTGCTATAGCATAAAGCCCTTACTTCTAGTGGTGGCATGTGAGGTCATTCACAGCTCCTCTTACTACTCTGACACCTCGGAGCTGCAGCCTTTGCGCCCTCTTCTCTGCTTTCCCTTGAACTCTTCTCTCTGCAAAGCCCACATGTGCTCTCCCTATCAGAGGTTCACCTTTCAGGCTAGCTCGTGCGTGCCTTGAGGCCCATGGAGTAAGTCTTTCTTGTAATTGTTCACTTGCACTTTGCCTGTCTTACTCGAATCGGAGAATCTTGAACGCAGCATTGACATGTTCCATCTTTGAATTCAGTGCCTGGCCCTCGGGAAAGGTCGGCTGAATTGAATTGCTAGGTAGTCCAGTGTTTTAATTGGTAGGGAAAAGTCACCCCCAAGATGGTTTCGATTCCCTGCACTCACAGCCACAGAATTGCAAGAAGATGAGACTGAGAGACATTTGGAAGTTTGGCTAGGAAGCATTTTCTTTTTCTTGAAATAACATTCACAGTTTGTTCTCTTTGCAGCATTCAGAGTTGCGTGCCATTTATAAATTGGTCTCTTAAGTTGACTGTATTAATGCTGTGATCCTGGCTATGGTGGGCATTTTGCTTGGATTATATGGAAAAGCTGAGATGTTGTGGTGGTGGAACTGTGACCTTGATTACATGTCCGCTTGCGGGTAACTAGTTAGATACCTAAGTCAACTGAGCCAGGAATGAGGCTCTAATGTGTAATAAGTTCTTACAGTCTTCTCTTTCCCCTTCTCCCTGCCTGTCCCTAGGAGTTTTGTTCCTGAGTCATGGAAGACAGAAGAGCTGAGAAGGCATGTGAACAAGCGTGTGAATCCTTGAAGAGGCAGGACTATGAGATGGCCCTCAAGCACTGCACCGAGGCCCTCCTTTCACTGAGCCACTGCTCCATGGCCGACTTCTCGGGGCCATGTCCGCTGGAGCTAGAGCGCATCAAAATTGAGAGCCTCCTTTACAGAATTGCCTCTTTTTTGCAACTGGTGAGTGAATGCTGTGGATTAGCCCAGGATCACCCCTGTACAGTGGCCTTTTCACTGAGCGGGGACTGTGGCTCGTCTCTCCCTATATATATAGATCAGCTAATTCTGGGTGGAGGGGATGAGTGAAGTGGCTGGTGACAGCTAAATATGGCCAACAACTGTGTTCTCAACACTTGGACAATTGTATTACTCGTTATACAGCATTTTGTATTATTCCCTCATTTACACGGTATTTGCTGAGTTTATGTTACATGTTAAACATTGGCTTAAGTGGGTTGTTGTATATTGCTGAAAAAAAAAAGATTTTTTCAGAGGGGACAGATAATAAACAATAGAATATAAAAAAACAATATAGATGGTTAGAAAGTACTAACTGCATAAAAGAAAGAAAATATGGTAAAGGAGATAGGGAATAGGGCGGTCCAAGTAGCTTCAGTGAGAAAATGACGAGAAGGAAGTGAGTGAGTGAGAGCCCTGTGGAACTGGAAGAGCATAAATACTGGGGGTGGGGTGTGTGTGTGTGTTTAAAGTGAAGACCTTGGAGCAGGAGCACATCTGTCATGCTTGAAGTATGACTCGGAGGTTGTGGTGGCTGGAAAAGAGTGCGTGACGGGGAGTGGCAGAGTTGGGGAAGTAACGGCTAGATCCTGTGGGAGCTGTAGGTCATTTTAAGGACTTTGATTTTCACTGTGCCTTTTATGGGCAACTATTGTGGGCCTTTGAGCGACGTGATCTGACTTAATGGGACTATTTTGACTTTTGTGTTGAGATCTCACTCTAAGGGATAAGGGGAGATGCAGGGAGACTAGTGTGGAAGCTGTTGGAGTAACCCCAGGCCACCGATGACAGTGGCTCAGACCAAAATGATAGCAGTGTAGATAATGAAGAGAGGCTAGTTTCTAGTTCTAACTGAACCACTGAGAGTTCACAGTGGATTGAATGTGGAGAGTGAGAGATGGAGCCCAATCATAGATGACTCACTTTGGGGTGTTTTTGTTTGAACAGTTGGAAGAATGGATATTTCTTCAATTGCGACAAGAAGGCAGTGGAATGGGGAGCACATTTTGTAGGGGACGGTGGGAGTTCAGTTTTGGACACACCGAGTTTGAGATGTCATTGAGATATCCCAGTGGAGATGTTGATGAGCAGTTGGATATGCAAATCTGGAGCTTGGGAGAGAGAACTGAGCTAAAGATAACTAACTTTAGAGTTGTGGCACATGTATAAAGTCTTGAGCCTGGGAAAAATCAGTAAGGGAATGAGGTTAGATAGAGAAGAGGAGGGGAACAGGGACTTACCCAGGGGTACCACAGTATTTCAAGATTGGGGACAAGAAGAAGAACCAGCAAGGCACCCTTAAGAGCAACCTCTATGGTAGAAGGAAAACAGGTGTGATTATCCTAGAAGCCTAGTGTCATTATGAGGGATTGTTTAACAGCATCAGATGCTGTGGTTGATAGAGGAGAAAGAACTGAGAAATGCCTGAGTCATGACTGTCTCTAATGATAAGTGTAGGCACAGACTATGTATCCATGTGAATACGGGAGAGGCCATTGGTGACGCCAGTGAGAGCAGTTTCTAGGGAAATGGTGGTGAATCTGACTATACGGGGTGTGAGAACCAGAGGGAAAAAGGGGAAAGATGAGTACAGACCATCCCAGAGTTATGAATGTCTGCCCAAGTCATACACTTGTAGGTAAGAGCCAACCCTTGTAAAGCTAGTTTCATTAACCATTTGACATACATACCATGGTTCCTAACGAGAGAGTGGGAAGCACATCAAACATTATTACTGTAGTATGTTAAAAATGTTTTAGTTTATCTGGAAGTGTTTCTTTGAATTTTTTTTTTTTTTGTACATAGGTACATTATGAACCAAGACAGACATTTGATTGCGTTAGATATGAATGATTCCTAACTGTTCTAATGTCCGTAAAAATTCAACTCAGAGGTTGATCTGGAAATGGAACTACATCGAACCTCCAAGAACTGCCTGTGTACACACCTTAAGTAGAATACATGTGGGCTTCAAAAAGTTCATGGAAATATTCAGTTCTCTTTCAGTTCCATTTTTGAAGCTCCTTCTGCCACATGGAGAGGTAGCTGGTTGGAGGCAAGAATGCAATAGCAGGGTTCTTTTTGAAACAAGAGTAATAACAACGTATTCTTATGCCCATAGGAATAGTCCAGTAGAAAGTAAAACAAAAGGATGCTGGGAAAATGCAGGTGGTTTGCTGGAGTAACGTTTGTGTAGGTGACGGTAGGGTTAGCTTCGGAGAGGAGCCTGCTGGGCAGTTCGTGTGGTAACAGACGGAGAGCACAGGATGCCGGGAGGCCTTCTAGCTGGTGGGGAGAGTGTGGATATTTTCTCCATGGAGTCATCAACGGAGAGTGGGGATGGGCGAGGAGGTTTTGGTGTTTTGAGGTTAGAAAGAGGGAGGAATGGAGTGTGTGGCTGGCCTAGAGAATTAATGCTGCGATTGATGGTCCTTGTTCCTGAGGAGTATACTGTGATTCTGAGCACCGTGTATCACTCTGCTCCCAAAACTCAGTGTGCAACATTAATGATTACAAATGATGAAACAAAGCTGAGCTGCTCTATGATAATAACATCTATGTGAAAACAGTCCCCCAGACTACTTAATTTTATCTTGTTCTCTTTATTTTGCAGAAAAACTATGGACAAGCAGATGAAGATTGTAGGCATGGTACGTTTGAAATGAGGACTTTTTTCTGAATTGAAGATTTTGAATGATTTAAATGTTTAAGGTTGATTTTCTTTTTTTTTTTCATTTGCTAATTTCAAAAAGAACTGTAATCCTTAAACTCCGCCTTATGTGGTGACTAGTGACTATTTTGGTGGGTAACCTCTCTGTGGTGACTGGGGTACTGTGGATCTTATTCCTCTGTGAGGCTGCCATCTTGTCACTTCTCTGAGGGCACTGGAGTGGCCTTGTTACGATAAGTTGGTGTGAGTTTCAGTTAACTAGAGTCAAATTTTAACAGAGGTCCCACATACTGATTAAAATGTTTAGTTTGGATAAATTGAAAGAATGGGCCTATCCCTCCTTCAATGTTTTTTTCTCTCTTTACTCAAAGATTTTCCTTAGAGTTAAGAGACTGGCTAGTTACTCTTTAGTGCTTTCTCTCTCTGTGTGGGTGGGGTGGGGTGGAGTTGGGGTAGGGGCAGGAAACTAAGATTCTTACTTTTTAGGGACTCCCAGAATAGGAATCCTTTTCTTTGATGACCCTCTGCTCACTAGCATGGGACTGGGAGCCTGTGGGAGGGGCAGTCAGTGCACATTCTCACCTATTCTCAGTGGACTTTTTTGCACAGCTCAATGGTTTGGATAATACAGTGTTTCATTTGTGGAGAATTTTGGAGTTAGGAGATATTTAACATAAGTTAATTTTTTCCCCCTATTAACGTTTACTCCTTACTTGGTTTTATTTTTTTGTTACTTGGAACCTCTATATTCAGTAACCTTTATGAATCCTTGCTTAGTCGAATTGTACACTCAAGAGTTCTGGGAGTTACTTAGAATTTGACAGAGACCTAGTTCAAAGTTTCTGCTAGCTATGACATTTAAAAATCACCAGTGAGCCAAATAAGACTGAGAATTTGCAGAAGGGAATACTTTCCCCTTTGAGTCCGTCTGAGGTACTAAAGGATCTTCGCACCTCTCTTTAATAGTGGTTCACACAGATGCTTATACTATAGAGTGCTTTGCATTTTAAAACTTAATTTTAAGGTTTGCTGTCTCACCTAACTGATATATCATGGCTATCTTTCTAATTTAGTCCACTTGCTCTAATTGCTGTTTAATATTCCATAGTATGGATGTGTCTTAATTTATTCAAACACTCCTACATTGATAGGCATTGGGTGGTTCTGGCGTTCTCCCAATAGTACTCTTTCTCACTGTGGCCTTTGTTTATATAGGATGATCTCAAAAGGTGGATTGCTGGCTTGAGGAATATGTACACTTACCATGTCAGTAGTCACCCTTGGATTAGTTTTTGCTTGCCTGCGCACACCTGTGGTATGAGAATGCCCATTCTTTCTAACCTACCACTGGCATCTGTCAGTTTTGTGAGGAACTTGGGAAAGATCTCTCTTTAATTTTCACTTTTCTGAGCACCAGTGAGGTGGAGCTGCCCTTCGCATTTTGGAGACGGAGACATGAAATTTCTAAAAGGTTAAATGTCTTCTGAAAATTAACGTGGTTGGTGAAGGAACATACAGATAGATGTTCCATTTCCCTGTAAATTGTTCACCATAGCATTTTAAAATTCGGCCGTATTTTCCAACCACCGAATTACCAAGAGAAAAAAGCTTTATCAGTGCTGGTGAAGTCAGGAAATGAGTGCGACCTTGTGTTGGTGGTGGGGTATTATAAAGTGGAATGCAGCTCTGTAATATGTTTGTACCCACTAATCTTATTTCTGGGCCATTATCCCAAAGAAATAATCCAGAAGAAAATCCTATATTACTTGCAGAATGGTTCACTGCAGTGCTGTGTGTGAAAGTGAAAAAGTTGGCTTGTAATGAAGGAGGAGTTCAATAATTGCATTCTATGCATGCTTTTCCCATTTAAATAATAAGTAAGAACTGGAGAATGCTTATATTTAAATAAATACAAAAGAAGTGTCTACCAAATTACTCATTTGAAACCATCATTGGGAAATAGTGGCCAAGTTTAAAAATGGCCTGATGGAGCATCTGAGCACCTTTATTTTATTTTATTTTTTTGTTTGTTGTTTAAATCATTTTATTGGGGGATCATACAACTCATCACAATCCATACATCCATTAATTGTGTCAAGCACATTCATACATTTGTTGCCATCATCATTCTCAAAACATTTTCTTTCCACTTGAGGCCTTGATATTAGCTCCTCATTTTTTTTCTCCCTCCTTCACCCTCTCTTCCTCACTAACCCTTGATAATATATGTTATTATTTTTTCATGCCTTACACTCTCCAATGTCTCCCTTCACCCATTTTTCTGCTGTCCATCCCCCAGGGAGGGGTTTATATGTAGATCAGTGTGATAGGTTTCCCTTTTCCCCCCTAGCTGCCCCTTCCCCTCCTAGTATCTCTACTCTCATTATTGGTCCTGAAGTGTTTATCTATCCTGGATTCTCTGTGTGTCCAGCTCTTATCCACACCAGTCTGAGCACCTTTATAAAGTCACAAAGAAGGAGGAGAATCAGTAATCAGTTTCTCAAGGCTGATTGCTATGAGGCAGAGGCCAGACATACTTCCTTTCTCCAACCTTTTCCAGCCCAGTACCAGCTGTCCCTCCAGTGGCACCCTCAGCTACTCTTTGTTGCAGCGGTCACATAGTACTCACAGACCATGGTTATGGGGTTTATTAGGGAAGTAACAGGCAACAATTCAGGATCAGGAATGACTCAGGATACAGTTCTTCAGCTAGGATGTCTCCTTGGCTGTATCCACAGACTGGCTTCTCTTATGGGTCCTTTGGGATGACTTCTGTACTACCAATGGCTGGTGTTATAAAGCACTTCTGCTTCACAGATAAGTGCCCCCTACTCTGCTAGGAGGCTTCCTTTCTGAAGCCACTCTGCCCTGTGTTTGACGGTCAGCAAACCTACTGTATCTGTCTTGTATTGTGGGCTGGGAAACCTACTGCACCATCTCATTTTTTTTCTTAATCGTTTTATTTGGGGCTCATACAACTCTTTATCACAATCCATACATACATCAATTGTGTTAAGCACATTTGTACATTCGTTGCCCTCATCATTCTCAAAACATTT